ATAGCCGAAGATAAAAGTTATATAATTTTGATTAGCCGAATTATATACTTTTTTGACGAATGATTGACGAGTGGCATTATGCCGAATAAATCCATTTCAACTAGTGTTCTGTTCAACTGCCATTTTTTTTTTTTTTTAAAAATGCATCAGTGATAATTGTCTGATTAAATGTTTATTTCTTATAATAATGTTTACATATATCTTTAGACATTACTATCTAAGACTATACTATAATATATCAATTATCAGTTATACCCAATACTTATCAGGATTGCTCCAAATAACAATGTTTGCTATAGCTTGTTTTCAACTATATTAGGTATAAAGGCTAATTTACTGGACAAAGGTATTTCTTTATTTACCTAGTAATGTATATTTTTACTAGTAGTTAAGCTTTATTTCTAACTGGAGAGGAATTAAGGAAAAGTTGAAAAGAGATACTAGAGTAATATCTATGGCAAATAAAGCTATATAATCATTGCTTGCTTTATTGGAGATAAATCTCTTTACTATTATCTGTAGCTGGACTAACTATTTAATTTTCTACCTGTCTAATTGATATCCAAGAATATTCAAAATACTTATAACTGGTACTTATTACCTGAATACTAACTTATACATTGCAAGAAACAGAACTTATAGTCAGAAGTCTTCTCAGGATAAGTACTGCCAGACTGGTTTATTACTGATTGGAATAAAACTAGGACAGAAATTTGTGTAAAAGATACTGGATATTAGGGAAGAAATCACCAAACCTATTTGTCAAAAGCGACATCTTATATACTTTGCAACTTTTAATAATTATCATAATATTAACCAGATAATCGTTATGTCACAATATCTTTTTTAGAAATCACAATCTCAACAACTACTAGATTAGTATGTAAAACAGCTTCTTATGAGAAACAGTATTTTTACAGATTATGGCACCAGATTAGGGTTCCTAACGATACCATTTCGATATCACTTCAATACCAGTTCGATACTTAAATTTACTATAAAAACATATGAGTAGGTCACAACCTATATATTAAATTTACTATAGATCGGTACCATTTCGATACCAGTTCAATACCAGTTCAGTACTTTTTCGGAACCCTATACCAGATATTATATAAATTTTATTCAACTACCCTCATATGGAGTTGAACTGATATCTTGTAATTTGACTTATGAAGTGTTAACTACTACATTATAGACCCACAGGTCTTTATAAACTTATTATATACAGTGTGGTACAAAAAATTTTGGAATTTTTTATTTATTTATTATTTAAAAATTACTGCATAGAAATTAATAAAAAATATATTAAAATAAAGCTAAAAACTTAGAGATTTTATTAATATATAATTAATAATTAATTCTTTTACCATTATTTTCAATTATTAATTTACATTTTTTTTTCATTAAATTTATAAAATTATTTAAAATATTATTTGGAATTTTATCTTATTCTTCTATCATAAATTGTTTTAATTCTAAAATCTTTTTTGATAATCTTATTTCTATATTTTTTTTAGTGATAATCCAAAGGTTTTCAATGGAATTTAAATCTGAACTATTAGAAGGCCAATCAATAATTTCAAAAAATTTTCCTTTAAAATACTTTAACAATTTTACTTATATACTTAGGATTATTATCTTGTTAAAAGCATTAATTGTTTTCAAGTAGTCTATCAATTTCTTGTTTATAATTTTACAAAATATTGATATAAAATTTTGCATCCATAATTTCTTTAAAACAAAAAAGAGATGTTTTTTTTTTTGTACAAAATCCTCCCCATACAAAAATTTTAGTATGATCTTTAGGTATTCTTTTAACTGGTCTTGCGCCTTTATACCATTAAGTAATTGTATTTTTGAATAGTTGAAATACTGTTTCATTAGAAAATAATGTTTTTTTCAATTATTATCAAGATATTTTTTTGCCCAAATAATACAAGCTTCTTTATAAGCAGTAGTAAGCATAGATGTTTCTAAAGCTAAATTATTTTTGTAATCCATATTGGCCAAATGTCTTAAAATTGTTTAATATGATACTTTGATATTAAGATTTGATAATTTAATTGTTAAAGTTCTTAAGAAAAGTCTTGGATTATAATGTAAATATTAACCAATTGCTTTTGATTCATGTGCTGTAATCTTTTTAGGATGATTACTATCAGATTTTCTTGAATTATTACCTTTTGAATTCAATTTTATAAGATTGTAATAGATAGTTGATATGTTTATACCAGTTTTAGAATATATTTCATATGCATAAGTAATTTCATTATTCCACAAATGTAATATAGTTTGTCGTTAAGTATTTTTTTTAGAAGGTAACATTGTAAGAATAAGTTTGTAACAAAAATAAAATGATCAAATAATTTTAAGTACCTATATATATTGTTTGGAATATGTTGTTTACATATTTAAAATTTCACATGAATTGCTTTTGTTTTGAAAAAGTTATATGTGTTTATATTATATAAATAATATTTCAAAAATTTTTGCACTATACTGTATATATTAATATGTATATCTTAAATTAATAAATATATATAATTTAGTAGATATAAAAGCAATAAATAATTTAGTTTATATAATTCTAAGATTTGATAAAAGTAATAAATATTTATTTTAATATAATTATTATTACTTTGAAGATTTTTAAATTTTTTTGAAATAAAAATTTATGGAGTTTATTATTTTAAAAATTTCTATATTAAAATTTTTTAATGATAGTTTTTGATTTTATATATTGGAATTTGAATAAGTTTATATTATTAAAACAAAGTTTTTTCAGTTTTGTTTTGGACTGATTTTTCAAAATGTGAGTTTTAATTAGTATTATTGACTTTTTACTTTTTTATATTTTGTGATTTTGTTTATTCAATTGAAGAAGGGTATAAGATTTCTATTAATTTGCTCTTAATTTGTTTTTAATTTGTTTCAATTTTTATAAATTTGAATTTCTACCTGTTTTAATTTATATATTTCAGCTTTTGAACCAGAAAAGTTTTTGTTTTTCATTGTTATTAATGCTTATTTGTCAATTTCATTTTTTGTGATCTATATTTTCATTGGATATAAAGAGTATTCTATTATTTTTTATATTTTATTGAATAAAAATTTAAATATTTGATGAAATCTTATAAAATTTTATATTTAAGTACTTTAATAGATAAAGAACAAAATTTACTAATAATAGATTATTTGTTAAAGCAATAATTGCAAAAATCGAATGGATGTCAAAATTTTAATAAACATATATAAATTTTGTTCAAAAAAAAATCGTTATACAGTATGTACAGTAATAATAAAATATTATCTAAGTTTAATGAAAACTTTACTGTAAGTTAAAGTTATTGTAAGGAACAAGTTTGCTTGATGCTTAAAATAAAAAAGGTTAATATATGGTAACTATTTCCGGTTAATTATAATAAATTTTAAGTGGTCGCTCATTTATTGGGGGCACTGTATTTCTTAAATTTTATTCGAACAATCTTTCTTAAATTGATAACGGAGTATCCGAAGCAACGCTTAAGAAATTTCAGGCAATTGATTGGTTCTAATCAAAATAGTGACAGACAGAATGTGCTTACGCTTCGAACAACAAAATTAATAATAAGTATTTAGTAATAAAATAAAATAAAATAAAATATCGAAAACTTTATCACTAGGTTTCTAAAGACAGGCAATCTTTAATATTAAAATGATTAAATATTTGTTTTTTCATCAAATAAAATTTGAAATTTAAGATTAAATAAAGTTTAGATTAGTTAAATCGTTTCACTGTATTTTTAAAATGATGATTGATATGAATTTGATCAGTATTCGGAATTTTATCTATTTCTTTATTTGATAAAGAAAAACATCCGTATACGTTATCTATCATGTCAAGTCATTTTTTTAATCGGATGTTGAACATTTCATCAATAGGTAAAAGTGTAAACCTTAAAAATATCTAATTAACGTAATATCACGCTGATTTATCGGATCGATACGTGCTCTTTATCAAACGTGATGGAGATCACATAGGATCCTTTATATTTTGTATGCAGTGGTCGGAAAAAGAAAATAAGAATTTTTTTCTTTCAGTCTTTTGAAAATAGACCATTACTTGGGCGTATGGTTTCGATTAAACGTCAACATTACCTTTTTAAAAATCAAAAAACCAAAGGCAGTTGGGGCCGAGTTTGCTTGTAAATCCATTGGTCTTTTTGTTCCCGTTCCAGGGAAACAGCCTATCCTTATTTCGAGAAGAATATAGGTTCTAGACCGTTTACAATTAAAGTTTGACCTTTTTCTGAGCTATTTTAATATTAATGGTGAATAGTTATGCAACATTGATATACCTTGCATATAAATTAATAACGAGTTTTTGTTCGGAAATTAAACATAAGATTATAATTCATAGTGTTGCGTGGCACACATGTTAGTTTACAAAGGTCATATATATATGTTCGTGTTTATTGTTGGAATTTTGATTGTAAATGTGCGAACGCACTTACGTATGAGTCATCGCACGAAGATCGATTTTTTTCTTCGACTAATCTTTAACAAGTTAGTAAGTAAATCCTAATTTCTTGTGCAATAGTTCTTCTCGGTTTTTCCCAAAGAACTCAAGGCTATTTAGTGTAGGTCTTCCCTAGTTTATCCCATTTATATTGTAGACAACTTGATCATTCAATAAAATTTAAAAACGCGTAAAATTCACAAGTCCTTCACATTTCATAATTTCTTGTCATTAGAACTAGATGCGCTAGATTCTCTTAGCCATCATCTCACTATTTCGATCCTTATTATCCACCCGACCCATTTGAATTTCTAAGGAAAAAAAAAACCATAAAAAAAATTTTAACCTAACGAAACGATAATTAATGACTTTCATATAAAAAATTTTCTTTAGTTAATTCATACGTTTTCCACTAACTCTTTACACCGTCTCGACCTCTCTTTATATTCTAATTTCAAGCTTAATACTAAAATGGGTGTCGCTTCAAGTAGGCATTCACCATATTCTAATAAACTCTCTTTTGACAACTACGATGAAACTTTCAAAAACTCGAAGACCAATGACGATAGGACGCACTTGATGCATTGTATATTTAAAGAAATTTGGAAGGCCAATTTCCTGGCACCCGTTGAAACGGCGTTTCGACAGGGTGCTAAAGTGTTGGATATTGGGTAAGTGCCGCTGGCCTTTACTGCATCATATGTTTTTCCAATATAATATTTTGTCTAATATAATCATGTTTTGTCTAATTTAACCATACAATACTTTATTTTTTATATACAAAGATGTGGAGGTAAGCTAAGAATTTACCATTGAAAGAGAAAACTTACATTTTTCCTACATTTCTAATTTCGTCTTGATATATTCCTTGAAAAAGTCGGCACATGGGTTAACGATATGGCCTCCGACTACCGTTCCACACGATTCATTGGTGTTGACATACTACCATTATTTCCGACCGTTGCCAAACCATTTAACGTAAATTTTGTACAAGCAAACATCTTGAATGGTCTACCATTCGAAGATAATTCCTTTGACTATATACATTGTAGATTGATGATATTTGATTTTATGGAAAGTCAATGGGATTTTATTTACAGAGGTGAGCATTTCAAATTTCTTACATTTCTCGTTATCTCGAATAGTCTGAAGATATCTAACTACCGTTTCGATAGAAATAAACAGAGTTCTAAAACCCGGTGGGTGGATTGAAGTCGTAGAATCCGAACTGGGATTTATCTCCGAAGGACCTTACACGCGGAGTGTGGTCGAAGCAAGTAATGAAACTGACATTTAATTTATTTACTCAATTTAGTTATCTATTATTTATTTATTTACTTATACGCTTTTCCTACCTCTTTAATATATGACCCTCACTTATTCCCATACCTTCTTTCAACAAAAGTCTGCCAAGTAATGAAATCCAGGAAAGTCAATCCTTTCATAATCTCCCGTCACGAACACCTCCTACGTTCGATGTCCGGTTTTTGTAATATCTCACATCGACAAAAAAATTATAAAATTGGCCCAAGATCCGGCAAGATCGGTGAATTACTCTCGCTGAATCTTTGTGAAACATTTAAGGAGTTTCTAATAAATTTTGATGGAAAAGTGGAGGTTATGGATTTGCCCAATGACCCTAGGCCGATGTCGTTGGGAGATACTTATAACAGGACCTGTAGTTTTGATGGATGTAATAACTCGAGCCTGCATGATAATAGGAGAAAGCCAAGTTCCGGAATTATGCATAAGAGAAAGTCTGGATTCGGCGGTCGTTACAATCGAAGAAGTGGCATAAGAAGAATAAGTGCATTTTTAGGAGGAAAAAAGAATGAATTAAAAGTGGAAATGATAATTGAAAAAATTTCCAATGAATTTGACCTGTACCAATCCATGACTTTAATACATCGATTCTGGGCGCAAAAAGCAAATGTTATTACACACAGATGAGAAGCAAATATGATATACGGTATTTACGTACATTAGAATAATAAGCTATAATAACATATTTACTTGCAATATTAGAATTAGAATAATATTAACTATTCATCATGTAAAAATCCATCTACCTAATGATGCGTTTATTACATGATATTTTATAGAGTCAGCTGCGAATTCATTTTCAAATTTCCCTGAGGGAAACCCAAATTCCAGCCTAATGATACAAACGCTGGTCGAAAAAAAAAATCTTTTTCTTTCTAGTACTCTGTTAAAATAATTGTAATAAATAATACATTCCTTTCACGCGTGTGTCATGTCCATCAGTTAATAAAAAAGAAAATGGTTTATACAATTGGTATTAATTGAAGCAGAGTTACTTAAACATATTGTCAGTGTACTTGATATCAATTAAAGTCTTGCTGTTTTGATATGATAAACTTGAAACCAGATAAGAATAATTATCTTATTATTAATCATTAAATTTAGTTGTCAAAGGATTTTTATTTTATTTTCAATATAACGTAATTATATGGTAGATACTATACTTTGCTAATTTTAATGTTATTAATGGCACATACAGTATATGAATAATCAAAAATCAGTCTCATTTGATTAATTATATTATACTGTATATATTATAATGAATATATCATATTTAAATGAAATAAATTATAATTATTATGATAAGGTAATTTTTTGTTTTCAAAATAAGATTTGACCATTATTTTTTTAAATTTATTATTTTATATAAATGGTAAAAAGATTTCTATTAAAAAGTATAAATGCATATAATTTAAATATATAAGTAGGCTTAAATGGATATATGAAAAAAGTAAACCAAAAAAATAATTTTATAATAAAAAACAAATAAATTAATAAAGAATAAATTAAATATAAAAAAAAAACAAATTTGTATAAAAACAAAACTTATTTATAATATAAGTAATTGAAAATTAGCAAAATATATTTTTGAAAAAGCTTATATCAAACAGATTAAATTAGAATATTTAAATATTTTAAATATAATATTATTAAATTTTAGAAAAAATTATAAATAATTAATTAAAAAATTTACTAATCAAAATTTAATTCTAAATTATTGAAAAAATTAATAAAATCAAATTTAAAAATATAATAAAATCAAATGTAAAAATATAATAAATTTCAATAATAAAAAATAAAATAAAATATAGTTATTTATAATTTTTATTAATAATATAAATGAAATCATAATATATCAGCTTGAAATATATTTTAAATGTATATTTTAAATATATGAATAATAACAAGTTAATATGAAAAAATTTAAATATAATTCAACAATTCAACATATATTTAAATAATTTATAAATAATGGTTTTAATAGAAAAAATACAAATATAAAAATTAAATAAATATATTAAATAAGATTTGATTAATTAAAATAATAATAATAATTAACATACAAATATTTGTATATTTAATATAAATGAATCTAGAATTTATTTATTATTAAAATTCATAACATATTTTTAAAAAATTTTTTAATTATAAGTAACAAGGAAAATAAATTTGCAAAAACAGTTTTATTACAAAGTAATTAATCTTGATAATATTTTTTAAAGCATTATATTTTGATATGCTTGTAAAAAATATATACTGTATATATTAATTTTATCTTATAATACAGTATTATCATTTTTACCAGATTAAATTCTATTAAAAAGATACAAAAAAATAAATTCATTAAAAATCTTATTCAATCGATATTCCAAAGAATATATGATTATAAATGCAAAATAGAATGTCAATTAAAATATTATTATACAATTTTTTTCCTTTTAGCTTTACATATAAAATTTGATAGTTTGAATCTGCATTATACAATACATAAAATATCAACGCATAAAAAATCACGATCAGCTAATGGTAACACAAATCAACTCACGGAAAGCTCAATTTAAATGTAAACAATCTCAGGATGAAATAGTAGGCAAGCATTATTTTCTTAAGTTTTTGCGATTTAAGATTTTAATGCGGTCCTTGTTCGAAACCTGTGCGGGCACTTTATTGTTGGTGACTTGCAGTAAGGCCGGACATAGAATAATATAAGCTGTCTTATTTTTGTCTGAAAAACGGGCAAATTGGATGGTGGTCTCTCAAATGATCAAAATTTGACTCATAGTATTGGGGATTTTTTGGTAAAGGCAGAGACCAACATATGAAATTTTTAACTTGATGTATTGACTCGTTTTATTGAACATTTTATATTATGTGTTGAACACGTCATAATTATAACTTTAAGTGACGCGCTGAACGAGGTTTGACAAAATTCGATTATTAAGGGTGAAAATGTATAATATATATTTCAAAAACTTTTCATTCTGCATTCAATTTACTCATTTTTCCATATTGGTTCGCGTTTATCTAAAAATGCACTTATTCCTTCTTCCTTGTCAGCCTGTAGTGTAGATTTGAAGGAAAATATATTATCAGTTTTGTTATTGGAGGTAATTTAATCTTTGTGAAAATTAAACATACCAGGGAGAATAGACTATAGAATAATCTTCTTTCGAAATGGTTTCCTTCTTTTAACGATAACTCAAATGCTGTTTAAGAAATAAAATATTTAAAGACGTTATATATATATATATATATAGAAATGGTATATTTCGATATAAGTGTATACGCATTAAACGATTAACACACACCGTTATTAACAGCTTCCTTAGCAGCTTGAACAGAAGGTTGGGAAAGACTTGCAATCTCTTGGCCTAGTTTAATGGCCTCTTCGAGTACCTTATCAACAGGTAGTACCTTACTCACTAGACCCCATTTTTCGGCATCTTGAGCTGTAAATTTTTTACCTGTCAATACGATCTCCATCGCTTTTGATTTTCCAATTGCTCTTGTGAGTCGTTGAGTGCCTCCGGCACCTACATTCCAAAAATAGTAGATGATTTTAAGTTGAAAGGCAAAATATTTGGGAAACATTAAGGTAGGATTGCACACCTGGAATGATACCAAGCTTAATCTCGGGTTGACCAAATGCGGCATTTTCACCGGCATAAATTATATCACAACTCATAGCTAATTCACACCCACCGCCCAACTAATTATTATAACAAATTTGGTCAACTAAAGTTAGAGTAAAAAACCATCTTTCATATTACTTTAGAGATTAAATACCGCAAAGCCATTTACGGCAGCAATTGTGGGTTTCTTAACGTCGTTAATTTTACCCCAGTTACTAAGAAAATTAGACTTGTAAACCTGAGCATAAGTTTTACCACGCATTTCTGTGATGTCAGCACCAGCTATGTATAGAAAAAAAGACAATAGTCGATAAGATAAAATTATTCATAATCACGAACGAGGCATAATGTACTTGCCAGCAAAAGCTCTTTCATTTCCAGCAATCACAATGGCGCCAATGTTCGGATCGTTATCGAATTTTTCCAATGCCTCGTTAATCTCATGAAACATATCACTCGACAAAGCATTCAACGCTTTTGGTCGATTTAAAGTAATCAATCCAACTTTATCATGACTTTCCGTTAGAATGTGATGATAATGTGGTTTGGTTTCTTTGTGACTTTCTAGTTGGATAGAAATAGGCGTGAAAATATTGTATGAGATAGTTGTTCCATATTAAAACCCAAGTAATTTCAAGAAATGCATTTGGTTCGTTCGTCATTAATGGTACAAAACCTACTGTGGGTGCTAAAGCGAGCAACTTGGACATAAGGTCTAGCTCGTAATAATGGACGTACAAGAGAAGTAAACATTATTAAAACAAGTCAATGAATGATACTTTATGTATTATGATATTTAAGGGGAAATCAAAAGAATACAAGATTTAGAGATAAAATTTTTGATGATCATCTTTATTATTTTAATTTGGATATCATTTTTAGCTTTATTTGTACCGAATATTTTTGGCCTAAGCTTTATACGTTTGTTTTTAATACACTGTATTTTTATTTTAAAACAATAATTATATGCTTTAAAATTATGTTGAAAAAATTTTTAACTACTAATTTAAAGCAATTTTTGTTTATTTTTTGCAACAAGTTATTTTTTTTTTATTATGTCCTGCAAATAAAAGTCTAATCTGTATTATTTTTATTTTGAAAAGTATTTACTTATAAATATTAGTTTATACAATAGATCTTTTTTATAAATATTTTTGATTGGATAAATTAAATAAAAATTAAATGACTATGGTCGACCAGTTAGGACCTGTAAGACATCCAAGAATTTCACAAAAGTTACTAACATATTGAGTGGAACCATTTGGAATAATAAAGAAACAACTTTTTTTAATTAGAGATTAATAGTGTTGGTAACATATCAAGACAAACTAAATAAAAATATAGTACATGCGCCATGTGACTTCCGTTTCGAAATCATGAATATAACACCTATCACCGTCACGACTTGGATTCGATTATGTGATGACGATCTTTACGATGAGGAACACCACTGCACCAAAATATATTGCTATTAAACATTATATGTATGTATATGTTTTGGTGATTTATTTAATAACTCTATAATTCATGAGTTACCTCTCTAATATGATCATTGTTTTTTGATATCAAATAAAAAAAAAAAAAAAATCAAATTTGCGTTTTCTAAATGTCAGAAACTTACAATTGGTCAGTATAGTAGATGATTATCTGGGGGTGTAATTGTGTAACTGGTTTTTTTTTTTTTTTTAAAAAAAAAAAAAAAAATTATTCAAATTTATATGGTCTATCAAAATCTCTTCCATCCCTTAATTGCGGAGTTAAACAGTATCTCCAGAAAGAACCAATTGCCAATAATATAAATGACAAGGAAACGAATGGATGGTCAAAAAGTGAATTCTGTTATATTATAGAAATGGTGAAATAAGGTCAGTAATTTTGTATATGTTAATATGTTTCGTGAAAACACAAAAATGTACCGTAATTTTTGATCCAAAAGTGAGCACTCCCTAAAAGTTAAAAAAAGTAAATAAATAAATGAGACAACAACATCAATAGCAGCAAAATATAAATTAGTAATTACCCTAAGTGTCTTTTCCACAATTCCCATTGTACTTTTGCCAATCAGGTGTTTTTCCTTGGCATCATAAATTGTTTCGAGAAGTTGGTTACTTTCAAATGAAATTTTTTCCCCTGTTTTAGTGGCGTCATAGTATTCACTTGACTATCGGAATGGGTCAATTAAAAAATAAGCCATTGAAGAAGTGTGCACATAAAAACATAACGACAATCCATTTTCTCTAATATCTACCTTTAGATCGACAATTAGTACCACTGGTATATCCTTTATACTTTTTCCGTAAACGTTATAAATATAATCGGTCCATCTATTGCCATTCAACCAAGCAAACATAATGCTTCTGTCATCATCTGATCCACCATCTTTCTTGGTTTGTTGATGGATTTTCGCGGCTTTCTTCAAGGATTCCTTGTTCCTGGTGAAATTTTCCACTTCGTTCGGTTGCAGTACACCTAGAACCACCAATCTATCACCACTCAAAATATCTTCGTAATTTTCCGAATCCATTTCTGGTACAAGAGGATATTTTTCTGATCGAATCCATTTCCTTAATGCATCAAGGTTAGTGAAATCATCGGGTGACTTGGCAGGATAAGTTTTTTGCATATCATCCTTCAAAACTATCAACGCTGGAGTACTTTCGACTTTCAAAACTTTAGCAAGGTTTTTGTCTTTGCTAGAATAGAATTTTAACGAAAAGAAAGAGCGTGATAGTGTTTTCATGGTTCGCTTAAGAAGTTTAAGAAAGACGACAACACGGGTTAATATAATGGTCAAGAAAGACACCGAATATTTCTTTAATTCTTACCAAAAATTCAAGGGGCGTCGACTCATCATATAGATAAATGAATAGAACATCGTCAGTCTCTTTTGCTTCGTCAAGCTCTTCCGAATTGATTTCAGATATGCGAGCAGCACCAGCCCTTTCGGCGAAATCTAGTAAGTTTTGCAACTGTCGTGATCCCTTGTAATCAACTATGTCATCGGGACTTTGGAATCTGCGAGATACAATGTGATGTTAAATATGCAAGATTACATATCTATACCAATGTAACAGTAATAACAAACATACAGTTTCAAAGTCGGGTATCCAAGAATTTTATACTTTTTACACAAATCTATTTTACGGCAAAAATGTTAATGGATTATAATAAATTATGAAATGTTTATAGTTTGATTAACATTTTAACGGATGATCTACCGACCTCCATCAATGGTACAGTCTACCTCCCCGACGTTCAATTTGTCCTTTAAACTTTTACCCAATTTTTCCCAGGTAGGTGCCAAGTGTTGACAATGACCACACCATGGAGCAAAAAATTTAATAAACCATGGTCCAGAGCTTACCAGTTCGTCAAAGTTTTTGCCAGTCAGTGGAACAACTGTCCCCAGCGGATTTTGTGGAACAGATCCACCTGAAGTTTCCTCGCCCAGAGCGATCACTTCTCCGGTGTCTTTCTCGTATAATTCCACAGCCTTGGTCTTGGTAAATTCGGTTAAGGAATCTAGAGTTCGGGAGCCACTATACATGTCTAATTTATTACCATTGTTATACCTCAATTAAAAAGTTAAAATGATGATTAATAAACCAAAATTTTGTAAATATTGGAGACGAACGACAAGAGAATTATTTACAAGAATAATGATGGAAAATTTTTCACGCCGTTCTTTTCACAAATATCTGATAAAATCAAGTCAAGTAAATAGGATATCATCAGTAGATTCTCAAAATTAACCTAGAATTTCCCTAACCTCCGTGGAGGGTGCAATCAACCTTGGCAATATAAAAGTTTTTCTTCTTTAGGAAATCTCCTTGTTCATTAGCCAGTTGATTCCATGTGGGCTCTAGTTGCAAAGGGTAGATCATTGTCAGCTTTCGTGAACGTGCTTAATTGTCAGTAGACTTGAACACGAGAGTGCCTACACCTACCCAACTCTTGACAATGAACGCACCAAGGTGCATAGAATTCGACAAACCTTTAAAAAAGTTGAAAATCGTGAAAATCATCGCCATTGATGGTCATCAAATGGCCTAGCATACATACCACCGTCCCTTGGAAACGGATTGATCAAAGGTTTTTTGTTCCAAGTTTATCACTTCGGAGCCTAAGGCATTCGCGACCAAGACCACCAGGGTCATTGCTAACACTATCGTGAATCTCATTTTCACTGGGATACGTGGGAACAAAAAGGATCAGAAATTCGGTTAATAGCTTGAACTTTTCGTCATGTGCTAGAGAAAATACTTTTTATATCAACGAAAATCTTGGCAAGAAGACCGTAGGATTCTCCCACAGCATAAGTTTAAGTGAATAACGTACATTCTTTTAAAACTTAATTTTGAAAGTGCCTTTATTAATGATAATTTTTTTAATTTAAGGGTATGAAAAAGTTCGTGAATGTTTATATACTTTTTGTATTTTAATGCAAAATTTGTAACCAATCAAAAATTTGAGGGTGTCGTAAATCCTTGCTGACCAATTACGTAATAATATATATATATATATTGTCTGCTTTTGTTGTATAATACCAGATATACTAGGCATTCAATTTAGATTAGTGCGATAAATAATATACAAAGGATGTTTAAAGAATATCTTCAACTAGTTCAACATTTTTTCGCCCAGAATTTGTGGAACTTTTCTTGCACCCTCATGGTTGAGTATTCCTTCTTAAAATCTTCCAGTAATTTCGTCATCTCCTCCGAAGAAATCCCCAATTGATTTCGTATCCTGTCAGCATGCATTCTAAAGTAGTTGTCGATCATGGCTGCTTTATAAATTCCCACCTCTCCTCCACATTCTCCCAGGGTTATCGCCTTGAAATCATGGTATACCTCGTCTAGCTTTTTTGTTGATTGCAGCATACGTTTTAGATGATCCACTATATTGTCGTTTTCGTGGATATAAAATTGTACTTTTAATTGAGAAAAGTAGATTAACCAATTAGTCATTATGCATAGATGAAAGAGAAAAAGAGATAACATACAGCCACATCTGATTCTAGTTAATATGGGTCCGGGGTTTTCAATTTTCAAATCCGGCTCAACGAATTCTAGCCAGCCTTCGGGTTTCGTGACCCTAAGTGCACGTCAATTTTCTTTCCGGTTAGAAAGAAAAAAAAAAAAAAAATCAATCCAAGGATACCAAAGTCGATGTTTACCTGATTAATTCATTAATAACATTTATCCACTCATTGTGTTCGAGGGTGAGTATAAGGTAACAAATTCGAACGAAATCAAATTCATTGTCGTCAAACAGCAATGTGCTCGAAATATCGCCGGAGGCAAATCGAAGATTAGGCGGTGGAGAAGAACATGCCAATTGTTTCATCCCAATACCGACAAATTCGGAATTTGGGTACTCCATAGCCATATCAACTAACCACAACCCATTTCCATAACTGTCAAAAGAAAATTTCCAAAGATGTGATAAATCTGACAAAAGTCGAAAGAAACATTCAAGTTGCTCCAAGACATCATCACTAACCTAACTTCTAAAATGGTGCTCTGGGAACCCAAAATGTCATCTATGGGGGCCGAGAAATTACTCTGCCACAGGTACTGCAGTAATAAATGAGGACTATTGTTTCCTTCAATTTTTTCTATGGTTTTAGGTAATCGGTACTTTAATATATCTTGCGTGACTTCCTTCTTTACCACATTCTCGGGAGACTTGGATAGGGAAGAATCTTTGGATTCTCTTTTTCTTAGTTTCTTAAGTGGTCTGGACGTAAAATTTCCCATTCAAGAAAATTACCGGTAAAAGATTGATTGGCCAAATAAATATATTATATATGTATATATATATATATGTTTTATCTAAATTAGTTATGACCTCCGAGAGAAGAATAATTGGTAGGGCAGACGTATGCAAGCAATTAATGAAACGTGAACAGAAATATTTATTTATGTTCACACGATGTGTCACACAGGAAACTATATTTTTGCGTGTCTCATTCCCTGGTCGAAAAAAATGTATCTATATCGTACCACGATCCTGGATAAAGAATGAATTCGTCAATATGATCGGTGACGAGCTAATTTGAAAATCACAACTAAATACAAACCTGTTACCACAGCGAAAATTACTAGGTAATATAAACAAATTGGATCAAGATTTTTAATTCTCTCCAATGTTACTTGACGATTTGACGATTCCAAATGGAATAATCTTTTTAATAAGTTGTGAAATATAATAATTCCTTAGTGGTTGTGTGAATGATAACGGTGCATTTTTTTTTTTATTTAAACCCTCAGAGGCACCTGACAAAGTTTCAAGGAGCCGGTAAATAAACAAACATTTTTCGGCAATGAAAAGAATTCTACGCAAAAAGAGTTATTTGTTTCACGAGTATTTCACATTATTTATTTGTTGTTGCTATTACTTTTCGTTGAACAAAGTAAACATGAATTGCCAATGCCTTTTCTTCTTCAAAAAAATTATGAAAACAAAAAATATTTGCTTATCAAAGGGATGAAACAAGGACCAGGCTTTTAACGTCTCCGATTTTTGTGAGAAATGAATTATTTTAATATCTGGTTATTCCGGAATTGAAATCATGCAAGTAGAGGTGTCACCGCGAATCTCGATGTAAGCGTAGAAAAATCAAAGGTTACTCTCAAGAATGAAATGTTCTGGTTGATCATCATTGGTGGTAGAAATTTTACTGTAATCGTTGAACATACATTTTTTTTTTAAAAAGACACGAGAAGAAAACATTTAACCAACATATAGTAATTCATTTTTGCAAATAAAGCTTTCTAGCACGTATTCGAAAAACGAATTATAAAAAAGAAAAAGACATACATATTCAAGGGACGTGATCTATAGACCATATCTCACATATCGAGTGTGAAGAAATAAAATGAAAACACTACTTTTAGCCAACCCCTTTACCCATTTCTTTCACGACGATGAGCTTCGCGAACACCAGACCCAGTAATGGCCCTCGCTTGACCGAAACCGAGAGCATTCTTACTTCGAACAACACCTAATTGAACCAATCCAAAATTCGTCGCTTCAAATCCGAGCCATGCACAAGTGGAAATTATTGCGCCTATTGCGGCGATTATTACAAGAACACAAGCAACAGGGAGGAAGACTATGGCACCAAGAAATGTGAAGAACCCTTGGGCAATCACAATTCCCACACCAGCCAAAGCTGACACAAATCCAAAAGTCAAGATGCTCCAACCGAGAAAAATTGCTATTGGGATACAATTGAATATTCCTAGGGCATACGCAAACCAACGAAGTGGCGGCAGATTTTTCCACAAATAGACCGACATGTTTAACACTGGTTGGAGAAGGGGATCAACGTAAGATCGTAACGACTGAACATATCCATGACTAATACTTGAGGCCCTTTCGTAGGCTTGCGTTGTAAAATCTTTAGCCACGTTAATGGTTTCTTGACCAAAAGAACCTTGCCTGCCATTATTTGACATCTTTAGATCCAGTTTAAAATATATTGGAGCAGAGCTTTATTTTATTGGAATACGCTGGCAAAAATTAAACAAATCTCAGGGTTTTGACATTTGTTTATATAGACAATATTTTTTACTCACAATCAGCAAATTTATCAATGTTTCGTAACTATGAACGAAAAATGACACATTGAAATCATAGTCTCTATGATTACTACATTTGATAAACACGCTTCTAATTTAGGCGACAATCAATCCAGTTTCATTCAACATCACAATTTAAATTCTTCCGCTTTTTGCTTGTCGCTCGTCGCGACATTCCCAATTCAACGAACCTTCTTTCGGTCAAGAACAGGTTAGGTCCTCATTACAAACAGTCCAGGAATAGAAAGATATTAGTGAAAGATCTTAATAGGTGTTTGGTATTCGGGGATTTGGGTAATATAATGATACGCGCAGTTACCATTACTGCGTATATGTATGCATGTTGGGAACCAAGCTTACCTAATTTTTTTTTATAATTAGTTAGAAAACCGTTTACACAGAAAAATTAAAAATATCAAGTTTAGTTAATAATTGATCGTTGGAAAATAATTTTTAAAATAAGCAAACCCCATCCCTCTGTTCGATCTTTAAGAATTTTAATTCAAAAAATTTCTTATTGTGATGCGTTTTGAGAAAAATAATAGTGGTACCCGTCGCTGAAACAACGGATCGAGGATAATCGTATTACTGCGGGACCCCTGTAATGTTAAATTAACGTCATTGTGTCACACTGATCCCGATCTGATCCGGCCTGGCGTATTGATGTAGCTATGTAATCATCATGAGGGACAGGTGACACTGTACCCATTATTTTTGGTAAAAGAAAATGGAGAACAACCGAGCTACCTTGCGTAAGACCTCCGTAAGTTCTCAAGAACCAACAGTAATCCTTCCCAATTACGAAGACTGGTTGAAGGGAGGTGAGAAGCAAATTTTGAACAAGTGTGCGAGTAATATCCTTTCTAATGCTCGCAAGAGACATTGCGATGCTTCTGAGCAACCCGAATCGCCAAAGAAGATAAAGACCCCGACAAAAGAGAAGGCATCATGTGTGTTCGTTGAAAATTCTCCGACCGGATTATCAAAAAAAATGGAGTTTTTAACAATAGAAAAAATATCAATTTCCATGTCGGAGCACTCGCCGCAGAATGAACTGTCGAAAATAGTAACGCCTTCGCAAAGGAAGTATTTGGCGATGTCGAATTCATATGATACCTCATCAAAAGAACGAATACTACCTGCCATTTCAGAAAATTTACCAATGGCGAAATTATCAAGATCAATGATAGAGAAACCTTCGGAGCATCCTTCAAAGGTTTTTTTTTCAAGATTAATGAACTCCCCCGTGTTTGAAAAGACCTCAATTAATATCGAGGAAGAACTGCCAATTGCTAATTTTGACGGAGTTCCGTGGATCCAAAAATTTTCCCCTCTTAGCACAGACGAACTTGCACTGGACCAGACCAAAATTAAAGAAGTTTGTAATTGGATTGATCGCTCCCTGCATGGTTCGAACTACACCAGAGAAGGTTTAAAAAACCACAAGTTGCTTGTTATACACGGTCCGACGGGTTCCGTGAAGACAACTGCCATCAAGGTTATTGCCAAGGAGAAATGTGTTGGCGTATCGGAATTTGAAATTGAATCCACTGTATCACAACTCAACGGTCGTTATATTTCGGTTGTAAGTCAACTTCAAAAATTTATAACGACGCATTCTGACTGTTTGAGTGAAGAAATCAAAAAAAGGAATATGGATGCGCAAATTGTGCTTGTTGACGTTAATTCTTGCTTTTGTTCGCCTAATTCGAAAGATAAGTTTAACGATCTGATAGAGAAGTGGCTTAGAAAAAAGACTACCTATTGGCCTCTTGTTCTCACGTATACTGACGAATTTATAATTAGTGATTATGAGACAGCTACTGGTTATTCGTTCAGGAAAAATGCTTTCTATGGATCGGCGTTGTCAAAAAAGATTATCGATTCTCCATTTTGCAAAGTAATCGATTTTCCCCCTCTTAAACCATATCTGATCGAAAAGGCACTTTCTAAATGCATCGGAAAGGGATTCGAGGGGGACAAGGTTTCATCTCAAGTTGGTTATCGCTTTGCGCAAATGATCAAAAGCGAATGTCGAGGTAACATAGTGACGGCCATCATGAAGTTAGAGCGCGCGATGACGCTCCACTGGGAAGAATCAAGTTTACGACAGATGATTGAGGACAGGATGATACATAATATTTATATCGACTGGGACGCCTACAACAAAAAATTAGACAAGAAAATACGGATCATATTGAACGAATGTGATGGATGTTCTAGGATCGATAGATTTACCGCAATCAACAGAATCTTGATGAATCCTAGAAGCGGGGATCACCAGAAAAAACGAAAATATTACGTTGATAAGGACACAATCATTCATCCGCAGGATCTCAAGGAGAGACCTCCTCTCAAGTACAACCCCGATGAAATAGTTGACGATATGGCGATGACTTATGACGACTTTGTGTCCGTATTATACAAAAACTTGCCAAGAAATTTTGAAGACATTTTCGAGGTTAATTATGCAGCAGAGCTTCTTTCTGTATGCGATTTATTCGTTCATCATAGTGATTACAATATAAGGGCGCAGCTTGCGTCGACAGGTATTTCTCTCGCTTCTCGCGGCATGCTCGCCGCGCACACACACGCCGGGCCTTTTAACGTAGAATACGATTATTCCGGCTGTCACAAAATGGATGAAGAGATTCGCAAAAGTTATCGTCGGATGGATTCACTGCGTCAAAAGAACCCTAATCTCTGGCGTTTCTCTAATGATGTATTTTCCTCAGAAATATATCCTTATTTTAATTTAATAAAAAAAGAACGGCAAAGAAATCTGACTGGCGAAAACAATTGGACGAAATTTTGATTTCCAAATGGATATTTAGCATAGTACCGCAAAGCATGGCGAATTTCATCAGTTTGTTCACGTGAAAGTCGTGATATTTGCCAAATAGAATTATAGGAAGTCGATTGTACAATTAATTAGCCTTGATTCATTAGACACCTCCCTCACCCACAAAAAACGCGAATGCAACTTTATATACATTTAAAGTTGGAAAACGCCCACCATCATAATTCTACTTATGAATATACATAAATAAATTTTTATTAATTATTAGTTTACTTCTATAGGGCCGGCTTGTAGCTCGACGGATGATGAAAGGGAAGGTGCTGCTCTGATATTGTGTTCACTCCTTATATTCACAGATTCTAAGGAAGAAATTCCAATCCCCAAGCTTTGACCATCAGTTGCAGTAATGGTCCTATCGCCTTCACCATTATTAACGCTACTTCTGACACCAGTGGTATTGTCTGGCGACGGACGAGCGGGAAATTGAGTTGAATCAAAAGACGGAGGTCTATCAACTTGCGTCATTGCTCCATCTAAAAATCTTGTTCTAGTCTCCATACTTGATTCCTCTAATCTCTTTGCGGATTCAGTAAAAGCGCTTCTGGCTGGTCTTGGAGAAATAAATGTGATTTGCCTTCTTGTTCTTTGTCCATATAGATAGCAATATAGTGCACATATAGCGATTATTAGAACTGTAACCGAGACACCTATGGCAGCCTGTATTATCTGACTTTGAGTTATATCCGAGTTTTGAGAAGGCGCCGATACATCATATAAGGCAACTGCAGATGTAGAGGTGGAAGCGGTACTGGTTGCGACTTGTGTTGTCGAATCCGCATCAGTAGAATGCAAAGAAACATTTATGATTAAGAATAAAAAGACCAGTTCGAATGTTTGAAATTTTGTGGGAAAGATGGAAATCATCTTTTTTATTACAAATTATATATCACAGGAAAGCGCTTTACTAGAAAAAGAAGCGAATCCATATAAAGTTATTAATTTAAAATTAGAGGAAAACGAAGGTCTACAGAATTATGAAAAAAATTATTTACAGTTGGTGGCTGTGCTGCCCATTCTTTTTGGAACCATTTCAAGATTTTCTCATTTCGGGTAGCATTGTTAAGTAACAAAAAAATTTCTGAGGCGTTGACAAAAGCCTCTTTGAGTTTCGCTTCGCCTCATTGATAAAGACATTGGATAACTGAAGGTCGAGTTAAAACAGTTTTTTGTTTTCCATCAAAATTTAGGGTTAATACCCAAGGCATCGTCTGAATCCGTATTTATAATATAGCCACACTTATGGCATTCGAGCATGGATAACACGTGATCTATTAGAAGCAATGGCTGGAGCGTAATATAAGCGTTCATAGCCATTCGCTTAATGTCTAGTATCTATTGTAGCTTCGTTATTTATTTGATATAAAGGGCTTACAAAATTCAATGTGATTTGTCGTGCATATATCGGTCACACTGCCCTCCTTGCTTTACGCGAACGAAGGAAACTATTTTCGATCTTTATGATCATTATGTTCAATCGTATTAACGGGAATACCATTTGAAAAAAGGATCAAGTTTTCTTTTATTTATTTAACACACGATATGATCAAATATTATTATTAGTATTATAAGCTATTCTTGATTACGAACACTTTATTACATTTTGAAAAAATACTGTATGATTAATATCGTTCAATCATTTTAAATTGATTCATCATGAAAGTGATTACTCTACTAGTTCTAATCATTAAAGAATAAAAATATTATATTATTATAAATTTTTATTTGGTTCAAAATGTAAGGAATTATATATTTTTATTTTTATACTTAAATTGAATTAATGAAAATTTATTCATTTATAAATGTAAAATAAATAATAAATTATTCATAGAATATATATTGAAACAATAAAAATTTTATTATTCACAATATTGATTTGACAAGTTTATTAGATAATACAAAAAATTACATGTACGGTATAACCAAAGTCTATATAATCTATAAAAGCTTATTTATTAATACTTAAATTAATTAATTAATTAATTATATAATTATTTTGGTCTTAAGATTAGTTACTTATTGAATAAATTAATTAAAAATTTTAAGATTAACAAATATAATAATTTGATAATACATATTTAAAATGAAAATTTTTTGAAATCTTTTATTAATTTATTATTTAGCCAATTAATAATTTTTATTTTATTTCTTATTCAATATTTAATAATTAATTAAATTGATACTATTATTAAAATTTTTGAAAATTTTATTAACTTTAGATAGATACTATTATATATTATTATTATTCATTAAAATTTGTTATTTTTAATTATATTTTCTATATAGTATTTAATTATTTTTTTCAAGAATTCTCAAAATGCTTATATAATTTTAAATAATATAGTAAATTTGAAATGTTATAAATCAAAATTCTAGTTATAAAACTTCTTTAAAATTTTAAATAATTATTTGTAAAAAGATATAATAATAATATATTTATATTTATAAAAAAAAACTCTTTCCCGCAAATCTCAAAATTCCTAAAAATTTCCTTTTTTGGCAATTCTCTAAAAACACTCCAAA